CACCTCCATGAATTCGTTTAGAGACTCGTTTGGCAGATTTTGAATGCAGATTTGAAATCAGCATCAAAAAGTACGTCTAGCAGTACAGGTCTCATTTCAAATGGCCACTTCGACTTGGGATCCTTCCCTTGTTAGAACTGTTTCCCACTTGCGCTTTCTGTGTAAATACGAATATGCATGAAAGTGATAGAATACTTCAAACATTGAAATGCCGACATCACTAGGATATTTGATCTACTAAACTCACCTCATCCCGCAGAAGATCTCCAGACGATAGATGAGATAATCCATATTTGGCTACTATTTTTTCACACTGTGTTCCTTTGCCTGAGCCTGGTCCACCTAAAAAAAATTACGTACGCATTGACACAAATATGCAATACATTATTAAAAGATCAAGAACTAGAGTAGTCTTTCAAGTGAATGTGGTTCAACTTGATCTGGATTGGAAACAGTTCCTTCTTTCTTATTTGCACCGAGACCTGAGGGGACTCAAGGAAAAAGGCGGTCTGGACCAATACAGTTTGTGCTTGCCGGTAATTCTCCACCGCGTGTTACGTGCGGTTACGGGGCTGATGTCAACCAGGATCTTCCTAGCTGGGAAAGAGAGTCAGTTAGGGAAGCAATCTCGGCGTGCTATGTTCACCAGCAAAAGGGAGGTGTGTCCGCTCCTGTCCATACTCTAATTCATAGGGGAGACGGGCAACCGAATCGTTTTCGGGTGATCGATACGTCGCGCGCGGCTTTCGCGAACCAGTTGCTTCGCTATTGCAGTTCTAACGTTCTTCGCACAGCTAGATGAATATGCGGCTATTCTTTTTACATGATTCTAATGTTGTTACTTCTTCTGTTAGCTGATGATTCATTTGCTCATAGTCAGGTGAGTTTAGGTGAGCCATCCATTTCCAAACAAGTAAAAATTCCTTCAAATCGTTTTTCGCACAAGAAATGGCCTATTTGCAACGGGTAACATCACAAGCTCACAGCACAAGCTTACGATAGACGGACAACAGGTTATGTCTAAAGATAGTAAAGTAACAGAAATTCAAAAGTGTGCTTACCAACAATGAAGAATATCGGTACTTGTGCTTTTTTTAGCGGGCCTAAGTCGATTGCCTTTCTCTCCAAAGTCGATGGTGTTCTAAAATAAAGATTCCATAAAAAATCTCTGAATCATTGCTCAGACATCTTATGAAGAGTGAGATTTCATCTATCAATTCACTTAGCTTACAAAAAATACAGAGAGTGGCATGGTGATCTATTTTCCGTAGGAGAAACTGCGAAAAGCATAATCTTGCACTTCACAGCTCCAGAACAGCTTACCCCCTTCACCTACAAAGATGCATTAGAAGAATTTCATTCCTTTCTAGCGGAATCATAGCCAACCATGACTTAAAATACGCCCCCTCTGAGGAGCTGATCCGCCGCCTTCACTTCTCCATCTATAAAAGCTCTGATTCAAGAAAATAGTAGCTATTGAGATTCAGCGAAACTCACACACCGACACACTTCGTGTGCTGGGTTCATTCCCTCTTTTTCAACTTGGCTGCGTGTTTTGACATAAATCATGCTTATTTCGCGCATTGTCTGCCCCTACATCCCCCTACTCCTCAGCGAGCTGGATCCAGTTCAGTCACTTCCTACTACTTACCATCATTGTCTTAAATCTGCCGCCTGCACTCGCTCCAGATTTGGTCCCAGATCCAAATTAGCAATTTTTGCGCACGTCTCGCCTCCTGTCAGCGGAGACAACCACCTACCCTTAATGTTCTGATCCTGCCTCCTGTTGCACTACCAAATTTGAAGTCCCCAGGTCACAGAACACATGAATTTCCTCTCAAATACAAATCTCCGCACAAACGCCGCCCCCGCGGACGGAGTCAAGTCTTGCCTCCACCCGACAGCATCCCCATACTGCCGCCTAGACATTTACCTATTTTAAAGGTCCCGGGTCACAGGAAACAGGAGTTACGAATTTCCCCTCAAAAACAAGTTTTCGCGCAAACCCCGCCTCCTGTGGGCGGGGTCCGGCCCTGCCATTCACCATTATTGAACCAAATTCAAACGCTCCAAGTGCACTGGACAGGAGTCACACACACACCCATACATACACATAGACAGACATACGTAGGTATAGACATAGACACCGACACATAGACCCGACACCCACCCACCGAAACCCATATCGAGAAAACAACAGAATACTTAACGAGACATATAGAGTAGTGTAAGTTAGTTCAGAATGTAATGGATTACACATGAACAACATACTTCGGAATTAACTTGTCGAGATGTTGCTGAACCACTGCGAAAATCTCATCGATTGTTCCTTGAGCGTTGATCTAAAAACACACATGTCTTGTTCAAGGGGATACGATCTTACTTAGCTATTAGCACATTACCACAGATGTACAGGCGTGATTTCAGCTTCAATGAGCCTTTACGCATTTCCCGCCCAGAGATCCATCTCCAGTTATGGTCAAGTTTACGTGCAATGATGAAGGGTAATTACTTTGAATTTCAGTCCCGCACAAGGTCCTCCACCTAGGCCTTCAAACAACCGTACCGCCATTTTCCATCTCACATTCGAACTCACCTTGAAGGCATAGGATCACTTAGATTTCCCACTCAGACGCGTGCGGCTCCCAATTATGCCATTATGAAGCGCTGTCAGGTCGAAAAAAGGCTAAAAGGGAAGGATCCCAAGTCGAAGTGGCCTTTGAAATGAGATCTACTTAGCTAGACGAATTTTTTGATGCTGATTCCGAATCTGCATTCAAACTATGCCAAACTATATTCTGAACGAAGTTGTGGAGCTGGTCTCCAGAGAGCGCTCAACAGGGGAAAGCACAATAGACATGATCGCCAGCAGTCCAGCAGTGGCGGCTTGGAGTGCAGGTAAACGTGACCCTTCATAGGCAGGGACTAAATATCGGTTTTAACTGCTGGAGGCGAGTCAGTTCCTACCTGAAACTTCTTCCACTGCGCAATCATATCGAATAGTTTCTGAAAAAGGTGGGGGTGTGGTAAGCGACTGTGAAGAAACAGTCTGCAGTGAAATTTTTTCAATCGTTACGCTCAATGTGAAAGACTTCTTTGTTTTAAACACTATGTGGCTAGATTATCACAACTGCTTATAGTAGGTAAAAGTTATCTCACAGTGAATTTGAAATTTATAACAAAAGAATGGAATTTTTGTAATGTTGGTGGTTGGAGTAGATGTTAGACGTTTTAAGTAGGAACTGACTCGTTTTCAGCAACTAAAAAGTCTCTGAAGGCGGTAAAACTGACATAAAAAGAGTATTACAATTTGGAGTGAAGAGTACTGCAAGATGCAAAAACGCCGTCGCCCACCAAACCCGATCCTTGATCCCATGCCTAGAAGGGTCACGCTTACCTCCACTCCAAGCCGCCACTGCTGCGCTGCTGGTGATCATGTCTATTGTGTCTTCCCCTGTTGAGCGCTCTCCGGAGACCTCCTCCACAACTTCATTCAGGGAATCGTTTGGCAGATTTTGAACGCAGGTTTGAAATTAGCATCAGAAAATACGTCTAGCAGTGGAGGTCTCATTTCAAATGGCCACTTCGACTTGGGATCCTTCCCTTGTTAGGTAGTGCACGGGAAGGGCTTGAAGACCGGCTTCGTCAACGCTCACACCCGAAAGCGGACGTGTTTAAACCTCGGTTGTAGAGATCCCACCATTTACAATGCATACACATGCTGGAAATTCAAATAACTAACCATGATCCATGGCGAAAGGCGAAGGGTGTTATTGTCATTTTTAGCTTTTTTGGCGAGCTCATTGGCAATTGCACACGACCAAATCCCGTTTAGGTACCTCTTCCATACACTTCCGTCATGGTAATCTAGTACAAGCCCTTATTTCCAGTACATGTAAGAAGCCTTTTACTTCGCGCATTAAGCGAAGTCTCCCGCTTTCTTCGCCCGAGCACAGCCAGCACGAACACTTCTGCTTTCTCACCTAAAAAAAGGTACCACAAAATCACTGTCAACTATGCCCTTGATGTAGAATCCAAGTCTCCGAGGCCCACTTCAAAGCAGGAAGGACAGCAGTGTCGAAAAGAAGAGCAAGGAGCCGGATGCTTTTCGTCTTCTTCACCAGCCCCTCAATATTCTCAGTGCTCCCCACGCGGCACGTTTCCTTCTGCTCAACTCCGAAGCTTGGTCGTTCATCATGTTGACCTCCCAGCACAGATACACGTAGCTAGAGCATTCAGAGATA